TCGCGCACGACAATAGATCCGATACAGCGACGGGCATTTGCAAACAGGCCGCTCCGCATCAGCCGCCTTAGGAAGCAGAGCAATGATGCCCATCATGACCTGCGTGGGCCACATCATACGAGCTTCGCACTGATTGAGGAGATCCGCGTAGGCCCCAACAGCAGCCCCAGGGAGAGACGCCAGAATCCGCGGAGGCCAACAGTCAATGCCCACCGCAGTGTCAGCCTTAAACATCCGCGCAGCTCTGGACACCGCACAGGGGGTCAACGGCTCGAGATCGCCGACGGCCGCCAGAGCCATACGGCGAACAACATCCAAAACTCCCGAGAGGGCCTCGCGTTGCTCCCAAGGGGCCGTCCAAAAGCCGCTCCAAAAATCCTGCCGATATTGCATCATTTCCTCTGGCAATTGCTTCACCTCCGAGGGAGTAACCAGATACTCGAGATCAGCCCCTTGATCATATTTGAGCCAAGAGTGAACCCTCTTGGCACCACGCGGCAAGGCCTTAAGAAGCCACTGCTTCATCTTATCCTTAGACAGAGCGCGAGCGTCATTCCAAGCCTGGCCGACCGCATGAGCGACCGCATCACTAAGAAGATTAAGCCCATCGACCGACGACGGGACGGCGGCCAGCTGAGCTATCCACCACTCGACAGGATGCACGAGCCCAGGGAGGCAATGCGCATGGACTTGACCCGACAAAACATGCAACACACGACCAGCCCAATGCATAGTATCCCAAGACTTCCGAGCCTTACACAGGCGAAACTCCCACAGAGTCTGGGAAACATGAGCCCAGAAACAAGCGTAGGGGATTGGAAACTCTGACCACAGAAACCTCTACGTCCAATCTTGGCACGTCGAAAGCTCGGGTAACCTCCACGCACACTACTCTCGCAAGGCAGCGACTGCATCGCACAGGCACGAGAAAGAAACATCAAGTCAGTAGCTCGGCTCCAAATACGGTGCTGGCGAGAGAGAGCAGGAGAAATATGATCATGACCATGGGGTAAGAAATTATCTTCAAAATAAGACGGAGCCTCCAAGTCACCATCGTCTGACACCTGCGTCAACAAAACCTCCCAGGGTAAATCAGGACCAGCACAATCAGGAAAGGGGGGAGGTTTAACACGTTTCCACAACGACTGTTCAACAGCCCCCTGGTCCAAGGAAACCTTCAAACAAGCATGTGTCTTAAATGGTGACGGGGTATACTTAGATACTCGCACGTAACTGGCAATATCCTCCGAGGCGACCACGTAATCGATCAGGGAGCCGCGCCCCTGCGTGCAGGTGAACTCCACCAGCGACGGGGCCAGCACTCGCCCTCTCGCAAGTCGTGGGAAGCCCGAGAGATCGAGATCACCAGCTGAGACATTGAAGTCGCCCATCAAGATCCATGGAACCGACAACGTTCCAAGAAACTCCGAGACTCCTCGCAATCTATTCACATTCTCTCCACAGACTCCCAGGCCCGACACCAAATAAACTACGCCCACAGCGATCACCGCTTTCTTAGTGCGTAACTCAAGAAACATCCAATGGCTTCCAGAGCCGTGGTCCTGCACAGGACCGTCTAAATGCAAAAATCGTTGAAACGACAATCCCCGAGACACCACGGCCCCCACCCCACCATGGGTTCCACCCCCTGGGGAGGGCGTGGCAGGAATGAAATGGGGTCGCCATTTCAGCTGGTGCGCTCGCCTCTTCGCCAGTTTCACCCGATCGCAATTCAGGTGATGCTCGGCAAAGAAGAAACCGTCACAACTGGTTCGCACGCTAGAGGCGAACGAAACAGCGACCTCGTTCCACGAGGTGCTATTACAGAAAAGGCAGTCGATGCTGGTGGCCGCCTCGTGGCCACCAGTGTGCCTGTTAAAAACGAGCCTGCGTAGCAGGGGCCTCACCGTCCGCAGCCGCCGCCGCCTCGCGTAGTCCATCGTCGACACCCTCGGCAGGGACTGGGACTTGGGCCACGCTGCCAGCAGGGACTGCTTGCTGAAGCACTCTGCCGAAACTCGATGCCGTGTCCTCGCGGATAGTACGTAGCCGTTTGACCGCTTTGCAATTGGCGGACTTGACCAAGAGCTTCTCCATGCGATCTTGCTGCGTTGCTTCAAGGGGCCCTTCACGTGCACACTTGCGAAGAGACTCCAACTCATCACGCTGAGCATCGCCATACTCTGAAGCCATCTCGGAGTCGGCGTCATCCTCCTTGACCGCGTTGACGTAGATCCGTTGGAGCTCCTGCCAGAACTCGAGCCGCTGACGATGCTCCGCACACCTGCGCGCCAGACCCTCTTCATCAAGCTGAGCCAGATTGGGAGGCTGGAGCACCGCCTGTGGAACACCCGCGCCAGCCGCCGCGCCGCCGTCCGCAGCAGCGGCATGAGCACCCACGGGGGCAGCAGGCGCAGCACCTCCTCGCGCGCCGCCACCTGCGACAGGAGGAGCGCCCGACGCGCCGCCAGCGCCACCGCCAGGAGCAGCCCCAGCGCCGCCAGCAGCACCAGCGCCACGCGCCGCGCCAGCCGCCATGGCCGCCTGCGCCTCGTACAGAGCGCGGGCGGCCTCGCCACGAACTCGGTCTTCCTCCTCACGCTGTAGGCGTCGGAAGTCGGCCTCCACGAAACCATCCTTCGCCACCGTAGCCTCACGAAGCAGGAGGAGGAGGGGGAAAGGGGGGGGAAGAGGAGGAGGAGGAGGAGGAGGAGGAGGAGGAGGAGGAGGAGGCAGGAGGCAGGAGGAGGAGCAAGAGGAGGAGCAGGAGAAAGGGGGAGAGGAGAGAGGAGGAGGAGGAGGAGGAGGAGGAAGAGGAGGACGAGGAGGAGGAGGAGGAGGAGGAGGAGGAGGAGGAGGAGGAGGAGGAGGAGGAGGGCTGCAAGATTGACGGTCCATGAACTGTCGCCGCGGGCGCCCCAATGCACGGCCTCACCAGCCAGCCACCAAGCCACCCCAACCCAGCCCCCGGAGGCCCAAACTCACCCTCGATTTCTGGTGTGTGTGTGGGGGGGGGGTCGGGGAACATCGAACAAAAACACATGTGGAGCCCGTACCCACCCCAAACCCGAAATTTGGGTCTTCGGGTCTGGTTGGGGCGGTCTGGTGGGTGGGCAGGGCTCGAGCCAAACGGTGTCTTGGCGATGCTGCGGACCGTTTTCGTTTGGATCTCGTGCCACGGCAAAGGCAGAACGAAGACAGAACAGACAGCGAAAACGAGGAACACTCTTTAGCTCGAGCCCTGCCCAAAAGGTAGCCCTTCTTCACCCCACGTGTCTTCCCACCCCCCCAGTTGGCGAACACTCGACAGGACTGGCTTCGGCCAGGACCTGCTTCCCTCGTGCCAGCTCGGCGCGGCGGCGGAGACGCCGTCACAGGCGTCCAGGGCCAACCGCCCTGTGGGGGCTCGTTTCGGCCCACGGGGCTCACAGGAACCAACCCGCGGCTCGAAGTCCATTCGCAGGACGAGGTTGGCAGCTTCTTGGTGCAGCCAAGACGCCGCCGATCTCTTGCCCACTTTGGGGTAGGGAGGGGCTCTGGGTTTCGGGCCCCCTCCTTTAGATCTGGGTCGGGGGACCTAGTCGTGGCCGAGGCTGCCGACGGCGACGGCGGCGACGATGGCCACTTCGGCCACGACGGCGCCGGCCGCGGTGACGGCGACGGCGATGCGGGCGACGGCGGCGACGATGGCCGCAATGGCGACGGCGGAGGCGGCAGCAGCGACGGCGGCCACGGCAGCCGAAAGGCGCCCGCGCCCGGGGCTTGGCGGCGGGCGCTCCGCCGGGCGCCGCGCAGCCGCGGCGCCGCCGGGGGCCGCAGTGGCCGCCGTGTCCGTGGGCGCCAGGCGCAGCGGCGGTAGCCGCAGACGGCCGCGCCTCCTCGCCAACGTCGTGGTCGTCGCCGCCGCCGCCGCCCACGGCAAGCAGCGCGGACCCGATGAGGATCTGGCCCAGCCTCTTGCGCAAAGCAACGTCAGAGCGGCGACGGCTCGCCGCAACGAGGTGCTCGGCGCAGCCCCGGGCCCGTCTGGTGGCGCCAGCCTGCACAACGCCCAGGCGTACTTGGCTTGCGGGAGGGCCCAATTCTGTGCAGCTTCGTGTAGCGCAGGGCGTGGTCCTCTCCTCATGTACTGCGCGCAGCGGGGGGCACGATCTGTGTGAGCAGAGTGCAGGCATGGGCGGTGGGCGAGGGCGTGTGCCACCAACATCGGCGGTGAGCGACATATGCGATTTCCCCAGCTCGGGCAATGGGTAGATCTATCTGGGGGGCACGGAACGAGTGAGGGGTGTGTCAACATGGCTGGGTGGCGGTATAGGAGTTCAGCCGCTTGGGCTCCGTGGGTGTAGGCACGAAGCGTGTGTGTGTGTGTGTATGTGTGTGTGAGTGTGTGTGTGTGTGTGTTTGTGTGTGTGTGTGCGTGTGTGTGTGTGTGCGTGTGTGCGTGTGTGTGTGTGTGTTTGTGTGTGTGAGTGTGTGTATGCGTGTGTCTGTGTGTGAGAGTGTTTGTGCGTGTGCGTGTGCGTGTGTGTGTGTGTGCGTGTGCGTGTGTTGCGTGGGCTGGAGGCAGCATGCGAGGGACGGGGGCTATGCGGTCACCCGTTTGACTGCAGGTAGAATTCCCCATGGGGCAAGAAATGTGTAAGGGTGTTGCGGAATTGGCACGCTCAGAGAAGAGGCGGAGAGAGGAGGAGGAGGAGCAGGAGCAGGAGTAAGGAGGAGCAGAGGAAGGAAGGATAAGACGCGCGGGGCTGCGTATTCCAAAAGTTTGCCCAGCAACACAGGAGGGCCGAGGGGCAAAATAATACAATCACACGTCAACAAACAGCACACACACACAATGAACATGTGCACAGACTATGGTTACAAAACGCCCAGAAAGAACATGTGAATGCAGCAATCGCGAATGACTGCCCAGCCTGACGTGCGCAAACGGCGTACGACAAAGCCAGTAGATGGCGTGGATACTTCTATCTGCCCACAGACCACTCATACAGTATGGAGTTCAACAGGCGACGCACGACTGACTTCGGCACCTTTCGCCGTTTTTCCCAAGGGGGATCACTCGCAGCAGCATTTCTTGTCTTGCTCGAGCAAGCTCCAGGTCGTCGTCGCAGCCCTGCGTTCGGGGAATGCGTGCCCGGCGCCTCTTCGGCTCGGCGGCCGTGCCGATTTGTGGCGTCGCCGCTGTCCAACACTCTGGCCAGCAGCGTCGATCGAGGACGGCCCTCGCGCAGTTCTCCTGCCGCCCGTGCACCTGTGCCGGGACCCCCTGGGTGCCCCGCCTGCCCGACAAGGGCGGTCGCACGCTCGAGGTGCTGCTTGTGCGCCACGGGGAGAGCACGAACAACGTCGCCATGTCCCGCGTCGCGGAGGCAGCCTCGTCGAAGGCCGAGTTCGAGGCGGCTTGGCTATCCCAGCGGGTCGATGACCCGGGCCTGACCGAGCTGGGCGCCAGGCAGGCCGAGGTCTTTGCGGAGGCGTACGGGCCCGATCTGCGTGCGCGAGGCTGCGTGGTCTACTGCTCGCCGCTCCTCCGCACGCTGCAGACCGCGGCGGCGCTTGCCGAGCGCGTGCAGTGCGAGGTGAGAGTCCGCCCGGACCTCTTCGAGATCGGAGGGGTCTACACCATCAGTGCTGGCGGGGTGCGCGGCGGCCCCGGACGGAGCCTCACCAGCGGCGAGATAGCCGAGCGGTTCCCGAGCTACAACGTCTCGGCGCTGCCCCCGGCGGGGCCGTGGTACCAAGCGGGCTGGGAAACGGACGCCAGGGGCCGAGCGCGTTGTGCCGATGTCGCCGCCTGGCTCCGGCGCGAGGAGACTCGCTCGCAGCTCGACGGTCGTGTGCTCGTGATTGTGTGCCACGGCCATTTTATCGACCTCCTGGTCAAGGCGCTCCTCGGCTTGCCCGATGATGCCACGCAGGACGAGCCCAACACGAACAACATTTTCCGCCGCGACGTCTTCTTCCACTCGCCCAACACTTCGACGACGCGGCTAACCATCGCTGACGACGGCCGCGTGCAGCTGCACAGCTTCGGGGACATCGGACATTTGCGTGTCCACGGCGCTTCGTCCTCTGTCCAGGTCGCGGGGTGAAGGAGACGTGGAGGGGCAATTCGCCATTCCCCCCGCCGTCGGCACGCATGCTCCAGCAGAAGCCGAGATGTTGCAAACAATGTCAGGCGCAGGCTCGGACGTGCTGTTGTTCCGATGCCCCTTCCGTTTGAGAGTTCCCCTCTGCCAGTACACCCCATTCTGCCGATCTGTCAGGAGGCGCACTGGCCGTTCGAAGACCGCAGGTATTTGGTGGTCTGCGGCACCTCCCGCCACTCTGCAAGTGGTGTAGGTCAGGGGCCTCTTGGATGCCTGTGGTGATCTCTTGGTCGGCCTCTCGGAGGCCTCGTCTTGGGAGGCGATTTTGGGGTGTCTCAGGCCCCCTCGGAGGCTTCTTGGGGCCTGATCTGGATTTCTTGGGTGAACTCCTAGGGCTTCTTCGGCCTCTTGGGGCCTGCTGGCGGTCTCGGGTGTCATCTTGGAGCAGAAGGCTAGAAATGCCAGTTCAAATTCCCCATCTTGGGGTCCTCTGGGGCTGGCTTGGTGGCCGTCTTCGGGCCCTCTGGCTGACTTGGGGCCCTCTTGGCGGCCTCTTGTGCTTTCTTGGGGCGATCTTCGGGGCCTCTCTGTCCATCTTGAAGTGTCGGGAGCCCCAAAAGTCGAACATGCCGATGGCAAACCTATGAGTTGGGCCTCCCGGGGCCTTCCTGGGGGTGCTCTTGGGGTGTCTTTGGGGTTCTCTGGCGGTCTTCAGGCCACCTCGGGCTTTGGGAAAAGCTCTTTGGGCGTCCCGAGGCCCCTGTGACCGTCCCAGGGGCCCGTGGCCTCTGGGGGCCCCCTTGCCCATTTTGGGGCCACCCCGCCCCCGGCAAAGTCATGAGACAAGAGGAGGAGGAGGAGAGGAGGAGGAGGAGGAGGAGGAGGAGGAGGAGGAGGAGGAGGAGGAGGAGGAGGAGGAGGAGGAGGAGGAGGAGGAGGAGGAGGAGGAGAGGAGGGAGGAGGAGGAGGAGGAGGAGGAGGAGGAGGAGGAGGAGGAGGAGGAGGAGGAGGAGGAGGAGGAGGAGGAGGAGGAGGAGAGAGGAGGAGGAGGAGGAGGATGGAGGAGGAGGAGGAGAGGAGGAGGAGGAGGAGGAGGAGGAGGAGGGGAGGAGGAGGAGGAGAGGAGGAGGAGGAGGAGGAGGAGGAGGAAGAGGAGGTGGAGGAGGAGGAGGAGGAGGAGGAGGAGGAGGAGGGCGGGCGAGACCCAACCTGCTCGAGTCGCCTGCCCACGTCGTGGTCCTGACTCGATAATACTTCGACCACCATCTGCTCAAGACCAGTCCCTCGACTTTCGCGACGTGTCTATGTGTTTGTTCTCGATTTCCGATTTCCAGGATGGTCCGATGTACCAGGTGAACAATCGCGAAACAGTCGCATTCGTGATGTTGCGACTTCTCCCATGCTCCCGTGATCCGTCCCGGCCAGTCGTTCGATCTGCGTCCAGCCGTGCTTCCACGGGGCGAGGGCGCCCCGGGGGCCCTCCTTAGCAAGGGGGGCACAGACTTCCAAACACCCCCCCCACCCATCGATCCTCGACCCAGCAAGGGGCACAGACTTCCCAAGCCCCCCGCCTCTCGACCCTCGGCCCTCCCAGCAAGGGGCGCAGGCCTCCAAAGCACCTGCCCATTGACCCTCCTCCCTCCGAGCAGGGGGCGCAGATCTCCGAAGCACCCACCCCTCGACCCTCGACCCTCCCAGCAAGGGGCACAGACTTCCAAAGCCCCCCACCCATCGATCCTCGATCCCCCGAGCAAGGGGCACAGACTTCCCAAGCCCCCCGCCAATCGACCCTCGACCCTCCTAGCAAGGGGCAAAGACTTCCACAGCACCCACCCATCGACCCTCGACCCTTTTGGCAAGGGGCACAGACTTCCAAACCCCCACCCCTCGACCCTCGACCCTCGTTCTTCTCAGAAGGCCGCCCTCCCCGCGGTACCCGTCACCAGAGGGAAGCATCTGCAGGTATCCGGGCGTCCCTGGAGGCCACGGGTGGCCGATGAAGAGGCCCACAGCGTGCAAGAGAACCCGACACGTTTCCTCGATCCTCGGTCTTCGACCGATCAGCGGTCGACCGAGGAGGCTACCCTAAGGACAAGAGGCTGCTTCAACATTTGGATGCCCCGGCGGTCTTCTTGGGTCGGCGCCGGGCCCCCCTCCCCGAGCCCCAGGCGGCGCCTTTGGCGCGACCCCCAGCGCGGCGCGCGTGCCAGGGAAGGGGTGTGGGGCAACGCCCATCCGAAACATACGCGCGAATCTCAGAACGTGTATGCCTACGCAGTTCCTGTTTCGTCCAGTCACTTTCGACCAGCGATCCTCGACCGATCCAGGATTGATCCTCGATCTTCGTCACTGAATGAGCCATCGATCATGGATCCTCGATCGTTCGAGGTTGTTGCACTGGATACGTCAGCGTCGCCGTAGTAGTCTTGCGTAGTCGTCGCTGTCGTCACAAGCCGACTCTTACACCCGTCCCACGGTACGTCTTGGCCATAATCTCGACGAGAACTTGGCCGCGGTCACGCAGAGCCCCGGGGGTGGCCCAGCCCAGAGCCGACATGATGACCCCAGCACTAGCTTTCCATCCTGCGCCGTTGTTCGACACCGAGGCCCGATCAGGGCCCCAGGAATGAATGATCTTGACCAGATCCAACCGAATCGCGGCACAGTGGCAGAAGCTGTGCTTTGTCTGGGCCGTGGTCGCTGTGAGCACCACTGACCCAATAGCTCGGATAGGAGATCGACTACAGAGTTGATGTGCCCCAATATGGACATGCGCGTCGAATCTACGACAAATACGTAGAAAGTGCGTAGATCTACGAACATGTTACGTTTTTTCTCAGACTCGTCGAGGATTCCAGTTTTTTGGGGCCAATCGATTCTGTAGTCGACCCCCTACTCGAATGGCCGAGACGGTTAGAAAGTCCGAGCTTCGCTAGGGACTGGTTCCCCCCCCTCCAAATCGACCGAAACCTTCCCGAAATCCTTCGAAAACCCGCCCCGAAGGGTTTCGGGAGGCTTTTCGAAGGGGTCCGGGAGGGTTCTGGAAGGGTGCTCGTCGTTTTGGCGGGAAACCAGTTCCTAGCGAACCCCGGGCTATCTAACGAACGGGCCAGAAGCCATCCGTTTCGTTTCTGTTCCTGCGATTTGAGGGGGGGCACCGTCGTCGTCATCCGAGGGGCTTCGCGCCTGGCTGCGCGCTTGCGCTGTGTGTGTGCGTGTGTGTGTGTGTGTGTGTGTGTGTGCGTGTGTGTGCGTGTGTGTGTGTGTGTGGATGTGTGTGGATGTGTGTGTGTGTGTGTGTGGATGTGTGTGTGTGTGTGTCTGCCCCAGCCGCCCAGGGTCCAGCACACACACAAATGCACACTTACACACTTTTTACGTCGGCGGCTGGGCAGAGGTACTGCTCCGGCGATGGGGCAGCAGTGGGACACAGAAATCTCGAATTCAGCCGCAGTGCACGGGAGGGAGAGGCAGGAAGCCCGGCGCGGGCGGGAGGGAGAGGAAGCCGGGCCCGCTCAGAGCAGGGCCAGGCGCGCCGGACGTGCCCGGAGCATCTCCGCGGAGGAGGGGCCGGAAGTCCAGGATTCCAGAGGAGGGTATCCAGACATGCGTGCGTCGTAACAGAAATCAGGACGGGAGGTTTTGGCAATTTTTCTAGGCCTCCTAGATGGGGTCGAAGTAGATGGAGTCGGAGGATCGCGCCGCATTGCCGATGCATCGCCGATACGGCTCGGTGTGGAGCCCGATTTGCTTCACGTCGACGTCGCCGATGTATCGCCGACGTCGACGATGCATCGCCGGGGCATCGCCGATGCATCGCTGATACATCGCCGATGCATCGGCGATGTATCGGCGATGCGGCGCGATCTTCCGACCCCATCCACTCCGACCCATCTAGGAGGCCTCTAATTCTCGGCCTCGGGAGGCCCTCGCCGGGCATCGGGAGCGTCAAACAACAACTCAGGATGGAAAACCGGTCCCAGGGAACGGGTCGGTACTTCCAGGGACCCCGTCGTGAAAAAATCAGGACGTTGCATGTCTGGGAAATGTACCCATACTGCTACCCGTGCCTCGTTTTCCCCTTTGGGGGCCTCCTGGACGGCCCTCGTCGCCACCGCTGGATTCGCCTCCAAATCCAGATCAGAACGCACCCCAGGAGAGGTCTGGGGGGTCATTTGCAGTATCAGTACCTGTTGGCTTTCCACGGATCGTTACCCCCGCTGTCTCGATCCTCGACCGATCCTCGATCTTCGATCGGTCCTCGATCGAGCACCGAGCATCCATCGATCAAGGGGGTTGCCCTGGCCGCGGGGTTGCTCTGGCCGCCAGCATCGATCGATCCCCGATGCCCGATCCTCGACGCTCGATCGATCCTCGACGCTCGGTGGTCGCTGCTCGCTGCTCGATGCTCGATCAATCGATCCTTGATACTCCGTGCTCGGTGCTCGATGCTCGACGCCGTTAGCATCGATCAAGCTTCGAAGCTCGAGGCTCCATTCTATATTTGGTGCTCTATACTCGATCGAGTCGCCAGGCCAGGCCGCCAGCATCGACTCCCGATCGATGGTGATGATGCTGCTAGTGGTGATGGCGGTGATGATCATGCTGATGATGCTGATCCTGGCCTCTTCTATCGGCGACAGGGTTCGACCAAATCGCTGTTTTGGCGATTTCGTGGGCCGTTTTCTTTTCGAGTTCGTTTAGCAGCAAGGCGGATCGGAGACGAAACGAGGGAAAACGAACTCATAACGAGTACGAGAAACATTGTTTAGGTCGATCCTTGATCGGCGATGCTCGACCTATCGATCTTCGGTCGAGCATTGAGCATCGAGCGGTCGACCCAGACCTCCGACGCCGTGTTTGTTCACAGCGTCGACCCCCCGAGGTCTCGACCCATTCCCAGGGGGGACCAGTTTTTGTTCATCCCGACTCGTTTTGTCAGCGGCCCCGACGCCGACAACGGAACACTAACCTGCCGTCGTGATCTGTTCATGGCTCGATTGGGCGTCGCGTGAGAGGGGGGGGGGGGGCGGCAGCGAGGGCTGCAGAAGAGGGGCCCTTTCGGGCCCCCGAAGGGGCCCTCTGGGGCCCAAGAGGGGGCCGCTGGGGCCCGAGAAGTGCACTTTCCCCTCCCATTTGTCGCCCCCCCCCATCATGCGACGCCCAAGATCTTTTCATGGCTCGAACCCAGACGTGTGACGACTTGATGTTTTCAGGACGGGGTCCCTGGAAGTCCCGACCCTTTCCCCGGGACCGGGTTTTCGTCTTGAGTTTGTTTCTGACGGCCCCGAGGCCCGGCGAGGGCCCCCCGAGGCCGAAAATTGCCAAAAACTTCCCGTCCTGATTTTTGTTCCGACGCGAGCATGTCTGGGTTTCCTCCTCTGGCATCCTGGACGTTCCGCCCCTCCTCCGCGGAGATGCTCCGCCAAAAACCGCCCGTCCAGATTTGTTTTTATTTAAAACGCGAGCATGTCTGGGAAGGGGTTTTGGATCGAGCATCGACCGATCGAGGAGGTTCGCCCCGGCCGCCCCGCGGGCCCGCCGCCCAGGCGCGCGCGCCGCGGGGCCGCCGCGCGCCACTGCGCGGAGGCTGGCGCACTCGCGCCTGGCGGCGCGCGAGGAGCCAACGCGCGGCGAGGGCTGCCGTCGGCCGCCGCCGGTCGCCCAGGTCTTCCTCCTCCTCCTCCTCCTTTTCCTCCTCCTCCTCTCCCTCCTCCTCCTCCTCTCCCTCCTCTTCTTCTTCTTCTTCTTCTTCTTATTCTTCTTATTCTGCTTCTTCTTCTTCTTCTTCTTCTTTCTCCTCCTCCTCCTCCTCCTCTTCTTCTCTTTTCCTCCTCCCCCTCCTCCTCTCCTCCCTCTTAGTCCTTCTCCTCTTCTCCTCCTCTTCTCCTTCCTCCTCCTCCTCCTCTCCCTCCTCCCCTTCTCCTCCTCTTCCCTCTCATCCTCCTTCTTCTCCTTCTCCTCCTCCTCCTCCTCCTCAACCTTCTCCTCCTCTTCTTCCTCCGCCTCTTCCTCTCCCTCTCTCTCCTTCTCCTCCTCTCCCTCTCCCTCCTCCTCTTCGTCCTCTCGCTCTCCCTCCTCCTCCTCTTTCTCCTCCTCCTTCTCCTCCTCCTCCTCCTCCTCCTCCATTATCCTCCTCCTCGTCCTCCTCCTCCTCGTCCTCCTCCTCCCTCTGCCTCTCCCGCCTCACGCGCGAATCCCTGAGCTCAAACGGACTCAGTGCGACGCGAAGGCTGAGCTGATGAGGTCACGTCCCCAGACATGATCGCGTCGTAACAGAAACATCGGGACGGGACTTTGCCCGGGGGGGCCTCGCCGAGCCTCGGGAGCGTCGAACAACGACTCAGGACGAGAACTGGCCCTGGGGAAAGGGTTGGGACTTCCAGGGGCCCCGTATTGAAAACTCAGGACGTCGCAGGTCTGGGTAAGATTCGAGTGCGTCCTGGATTTCGACGGCCCAGTTTTCGTCGGACGTTTGCAGCGGGAGCTCGCGTCAAATTTCAGACTGGGTCTCGTCATTTTCATGATGGCCCCGTCAGGCCAACCTTAGTCCCCTGAACCCGAGTCTTACGTCTCCCCGATCGAGCATCGATTACCTTCCTCTTCGTTGCGATTTTTTCGCAACGGGCGTTTTCGCTCGGAGGAGGAGGAGGTAAAAAGGCCCTTCTAGCACTACCCTTGCCTCGTTTTCCTCTTGGCGGGCCTCCTGGGAGGCCCCCCTCGTCGCCACCGCTGAATTGGCCTCGAAATTCTGGTCAGAGTATCGGTATCCGTACCAGCTGGTTCCCCCAGAGGACGAGGTGGAGGATCCCTTGAGATCCTGGCGTTGCCTCTTTGTTCACGCCGGGCGTGTTCGCCCGGTTTCGGGCCCCGGGGCCCTCACAGATCAATTTGGCCCGACAAAGATGCCACAGGACGATGGGCAGGGCTCCGGTCGTGCATTTTCACGGCGTTGCGCCGCCAACAAACATGCTCGCGTCGTGAGAATTCGGGGCGGCAGCTTTTTGCAATTTCCGCTCCTAGGGGCACTCGCCGGGCCTCGGGACCGTCGAAAAGGGGCTCGGGCCGAAAAACCAGCCCCGCGGAACGGGTCGGGAATTTCGGGAGCCGCGTATTGAACATTACAGGACAGCGCATGTCTGAGGATTTGCCTACAACCTGGGATCCTTTGTTTCAAGCTGAGCGTTGTTCGCCCGGTTTCGGGCCCGTGGGTTTTGGCGTTATGATCGTGATTGTTTTGCGATGTTCGAAGGTTTTTACGAAGTCGAACTTCAGGGAAGCGTGCACGCTGTCCTATACCTAGACCTCACCGCTAGGGTCCGAGTAGACGGGGTGGGAAGATCGCGCCGCATCGCCGATGCATCGGCGATGCGGCTCGATGTGGGGCCCGAATTTCTGCACGCCCACGGAACCGATGCGTCGCTGACGTCGCTGATGCTTCGCCGATGCATCGGCGATGCGGCGCGATCCTCCGACTCCATCTAGGAGGCCTGCACTGTAGACCCAGTAAGAATTTTCTAAGAACCTCGTGCGACTTGCACGACATGTTATAAGAACATTGTTTTTGTTTTGGTGAGTTTCTCTTGTTCTAAGGACATGTTAGCCAGCGTTGACCCAAAGCAGTATGCGATGCAACCTATGTAATGACATCTACGCGGTGCAATATTTTAGTGCAACGCATGCTTTGCAACCTACGTGTTGCAATATATGATGTGCAATTTATGTGGTGCAATGTCTGCGATGCAACCGATGTGATGCAGCCTATGCGGTGCAATGTATGTGGCGCGATGACTGCGTTGCAACCTATGTAATGCAGTCTATGCGGTGCAATGTATGTGGTGCGACGTACGCGATGCATCCAATGTAATGCAGTGTACGCGGTGCACTATATGTGTTGCGATGTATGCGGTGCAACCTTTGTAATGCAGTCGATGCGGTGCAATATATATGGTGCGATGTATGCGATGCAGCCAATGTAATGCAGCGTACGCGGTGCAATCTACGTGGTGCAATGCATGCGATGCAACCTATGTAACGCATCATCGCGGTGCAATATATGCGGTTCAGCGTATGCGATGCAACTTGCGGAATGCAACATATGCGGTGCAATCTATGTTATTCGATGTATGCGATGCAACCTGTGTAATGCAGTGTATGCAGTGCAATCTAGGTTGCGCAATGTATGCGATGCAACCTATGCAACGCAGTCTATGCGGGGCAATCTATGTAGTGCGATGAATGCGGTGAAACCTATGTACTGCAGTCTATGCTGTGCAATATATGTGGTGCGAGGTATGCGATGCAACCTATGTAATGCAGTATATGCGGTGCAGTACATGCGGTGCGAGGTGAGCGATGTAACCCATGTGATGCAAGCGGTGTGGTGCAATGTATGCGGTGCAACCTATGTAATGCCATCTATGCGGTGCAACATTTATGATTTGATATATGCGATGCATCTTAGGTTATGCCATCTCTGTGTGGTGCGCTGTATGTGATGCAACCTATGTAATGTAACCCATGCGGTGCAACATATGTGATGCAACATATGCGACGCAGTCTATGTGGTGCAATCTATGTGGTACAATGTATGCGACGCAACCTATGTAATGCAATTTTTGCTGTGCAATGTATACGATGTGGCGACGGCGACGGCGGGCGACGGGCGGGGATGGCGGCGACGGGCGGCACGGGCGGCGACGGGCGGGAATGGCGGCGACGGGCGGCGACGGCGACGGGCGTCGACGGGCGGCACGGAAGCGATTTTGCGGCGAGGGTCCCGAGATGGTTAACCGAAGAAAGAACCCCTGGTGCTGCAAGCACTGTTTGGGGAATGTCGTGGTAGGGCTACAGGAATGCCGGGACGGTCGGTCCCTGCTCCAACGTCGCCGGGGCGCCTCGTAGTCAGAGGACGGGAACATAACCGATGCTCGTCCTGGAGAGTCCTCGTCGCTACGGCCGGATTCTCCTCGGAATCTTGGTTGGTCAGAATTCACCCCAGGAGAGGTCCCGGGAAGTAGCGGTGATTATCGGTATCTTGTTTTCCCCCTCGGCCCCGCCGCCGCTGCCGACGGCCCGCGAAGAGTCGGCGGCCCGCAAGAAGCCCGCGGCGCCGCCAGTCACCGCCAGTCGCCGCCGCCCGCCGTCGCCCAGGTTAGATGCCTACCTAACAAATCTGCTCGATTCAAGGAGGGTCCCCAAGGGCGAGGGGCCTCGAGCGATGTAAATTCAGTGTAGGATTCCTTCCTATCTTCGGGGCCGGAGACCCCAGACCCCCATCCTCGAGCCGCCGAACGGATCTGTTGGGTTCTGGAGTGGTCCTGGTTCGGGTCCAGTTCGGCTCGAGGTCGGCTCCATGGCGGCGGACGACTGACGCAGTATCGAAGTCTCAGTGGGACGAGTTGCTCCAGGGAGGTTCCCAGCACGAGCCCCTCACTATAATACCCTTGGCGCCTCTCGGATGCGCCGTCGCCGCTGACGGCCCGGTGCGCAGCAGAGAGGTCCATCCTTCCTCTTCCCCGTCGCAGGAAACAGCTGTGCACCCAGTGTGCGTACGGGCCTCGTGCTGCGGTGCGCTGGCGCAGCCGTGCCACCGCTGTGTGAACCGATCTGGGTACGCTTCGAAGCGCTTCGTCGTGAGAGGTCGGGTGGGTACGAAGACCGACGTTGTCCATTCGAACCAGAAGGCCGATTGCTCAGCAGCGGCCGCATCTCGGTACGCTTCGAAGCTCTTCGTAGTAGAAGATATGGCGGGTACCAAGACCGACAGCAGTTCCTGATCATTTGGAACACGACTCGTTGTCAGTGTCGCATCAGACGTTGTCCATTCGAGACAGAAGGCCGACTGTCCAACAGCGGCCGCTGACGATGGTGGACAAAATGTGTTTGTGGGCAGTGTACCCATATTCTCCTTCTCCATTTCGGGCGTCCGACGTCTAGGCCTCCCAAATGGGTTCGGAATATAATGTGGTCGGAGGATCGCGCCGCATCGCCGATGCATCGACGATGCGGTTCGATGTGGAGCCCGACGTTCTCCACGCCGATGCCTCGCCGATGCATCGCCGATACGTCGGCGACGCGGCGCGATCCTCCGACCCCACCTACGCGAATGTCGGGCGTGTCCCTCTACAAGAGGAATATTCAAAAATAGTCAAACAATAGTCTGGGGTCGATTTCTCTAATATGGTTGGTCTAGGTCTGAGTACTGTTGGAGTAGATTTAAGAAAAATCGTCCAAACTCCGCCTGTAGGGCCTGTAGGGGGACGCGCCCGACCTGAAGCCAGGAGGCCTCTGGCGAGGGAGCGGAGGGAAGGCGCCACGTCGAGCGGCGGAAAGAAAAGCGGGGCCGCCTGCGCGGACACTCGCGCGCGTGCGAGCTGCCCGCGCGTAGGGTCGGGCGTGGGCGCCCTCGTGGTCCATTGTGCAGCGTGCCGCGCCGGCGACCCGCGTCGGCCACCGCGTAAGGTCGGTGCGTCATCTCGCGCAAGACCCTCCTCCTCCTCCTCCTCCTCTTCCTCCTCCTCCTCCTCCTCCTCCTCCTCCTGCTCCTGCTCCGCCTCCTCCGCCTCCTCCGCCTCCTCCTCCTCCTCCTCCTCCTCCTCCTCCTCCTCCTCCTCCTCATGGCGTGTTCTTTCGTAAACCCCAGGGCGCGTTGCTACATATCGCGGGTGGCTATGTTCACCCTAGTCATCGAATGCAGTTTCATGGTGATTTGAAGTTGTGGTATTGTGTCGGCTGTGGCAGCTACGGGTCGCAGCAGCTCCTGGCCCTGGGTCGTGTGTGCGTGACGCCTCCCACACCGCACAGGGCCGAGTATCTGCGGCTAATCTCCCAAGGCTTGTGGCCAAAGGTCCTAAGCAAGGCCGAGAAAGCCACCAGGCGCAAGAGTAATGCATAGCGATGTCGGGGATTCACTGACTTAGTCATATGGTCATGCTCATGCTCATGCTCCACGTCATCTTGCGCAAGGCCCGTTCAGATTCGTCGCGGGGACAGGGAGTCGGGGGCACGTATCCAGCGGCGGGGGGGGGGCAGGGGGATGGACGAGGGATTCGAAGAAGAAAAAACGGCATCAACATGAACTTGCGGCGTTGCGCGGATTTCTCGGATACGCGCTGGACCTCCCTGGCGGCGCCTCCGGCGCCGCCCCTGGCGCGCTCCGAAATCCGCGCGGACCTCGGAGTTTTTATGTTTATGTCACTCTTCGTTCCCCCGGGGGGGGGGGGCAGGAGGAGGGATGCGGGAGGGGAGGGCGCCCCCGCCGAAGGAAAGCACCGGCGAGTCCATGATGCCGCCAAGCATGTCTTGCCGTTCTGGTCTATGCAG